TTTGTTTGTTAAGTAGTAGTTAAAGACCGCACTTCAAGGCTTTGGTTTTTGCTTTGTTGAGCTTTTTAATTTATTTATTTTATTTAATTTGAACATTTATACATGAAGTACAAAAGAATACAGTTAAATGCAAGCATGCCAAAGCCACTTGAATGCAATAGCATTTACGGGCAGGCTTAAATTATCTTAAGATGCTCACTAAAGCAGTGAATTATCAGTGGTAAAACATTATTGTAAAACAGATAACAAGCACATAATGAGTATACAAAAACAATAATGAATACACTAATACAATAATGAGATACATTATATGAGATACAATTTATGAAATAACAATTTATTCAGTATTTATTTAGTTTGGTGAATAATGATTCTTTGAGAAGAGACTTAAATTTAATAAACAACAAGTGTTTCCTTTTATATTTACAGGTAGTTGAATTATCCAGATTTTGGGCCTATTATGTGCATTGAGTTTTTGCATAGTGTGAGATGGACACGAGGAACATCAAAGTAAGTTGATCTGTGGCCTGAGTTTGATCTGTTATTCTGTTTGAGTTTGGTAAGGAGATGTTTGAGGGGAGGGTTAATAATCAGAGTTAAAGTGTTCTATTATGTAGTAGGTGCAGTAATAAGTATGGCTGTTTTGTTGTGTGATATTATTATTATTAATTATAATCAAAAAGAAGCGCTAAGCCACTAGGACTCTATCAGCTTTAAGGTGAGTAGGTTTTAGTGTTTTGAATATTGGTGGAGTGTGCTGTCTGTAGTGGGAATTTTGTTGTTATTCTGACTGATTATAATTAATTGTTAATCTGTTGACCGTCCTGCCAACGTTTTTTAATATAAACATTTGCCAGGAGAGATTACAATTGAAAATTACTAATCAAATTTTTTTTAATTATTAGAATCTGTACAAAAATGGTCAACTCAAATTCTACTTTTTTATTCTGAGACATGTAAGTTTTACATGTAACTTTGTTAGGCACAAAAGAAAGCCACTAGTATGAAATACATTTCAATTTTCTTAATAATAAAGATATTTGTATAGTGTGATTAAGAGTTCCAGCCTCAACGCTTGTGTTTTTATGAATAATTGTTTTAAGTGTCTGACTGAGTGTATTCACCCTAGTGGGGAAATGTTACCTTGATTATTTTGGGGGTTACATATAACAATACATGTACCTGATCTGATCTTTTTAATGATTACTGTTTGGAGGGATATGTTGTTGTATTTTTTTATACATAAATGCTTCTATACTGTGTGTTCTGAGCACCTCTGCTAAACAGTGATTATGTGAGCGAGGTGGAAAGTGTTCCATGATTGAATGAAAGTATTTTCTTTTGGGGATTTTTCTTTCTTTTTGGGTGCACCTGCCTCGGTTTTGGAGACGGCCCGACTGTTGAAAAAAAAATAAATAACTCAGTTTACCTTATTCTTAGTATATCTTCTTTTATTGTAACTGCTTTTCGCATAGTTGAAATTACTTATCTTGTTTTAACTTTGAAGGTTTAAATACTAAGGTATACAAGGACCCAATGGATAATAAGTCACTGTTCTTTATCCATTCATGTAACCTATGGTATGACCTATACCTGGAAAAACTACTTATTTACTATCCTAGGTAATTTACATTCAGGTATGATAATCAATACTTTGTGTTACCTGTGCCCTAAATAAGCTTTATTTAGCCCAACATCCCTAGTTGATATGGTAGAAGAGGGTAGTGGTTAGTAGCTGAGACTAGCAACAAAAATTTGGAGAATGTCCCGTACAATTTTTTAGTGCAGGTACAAATAAAGTACAATTTTCATACCTAGTAATGTTGTAAATTACCCTATTAAATTTCCCACTAAACTGTAATTTGTTTTATCTATGATCAGACCTAGGAAATTTACCCAATTCTTCTTTCTACTTTTTGTATCGTTTAATTTGATGCCTTTATTGTCAACTTCGGCAGACGATGCAACATTCTCCCAAGTGAAAAGCATAGGCCGCCACTAGCACGAAGCCTCCCAGCATAATAAGGGGATTGCATTAAACCCCAGGCTGTCTTTTTAAGAAGGCACGGACATGCCACCAAAAGTCAGTGCCCTGACCACCTGGGCTGTGGTTTTAAGACGGATAGTGCAGCCAACAGTAACAGCCTGTTTTGATTAGGTCCTGATCCCAACATATGCCTTTTTCCCCAACAGCTAGTGGGGGTGTTGACCCGCTGAAACCCTCTCCAGTTATACTCCAGGTATGATTTTATTCCCAAAAGTATATAGAATGTTTTGTATTATCTATATCAGGAGGGAGTATATTTTTATCATGTGGGTGTAGACACTATTTTTAGTTGAGCATTAAACTAGAGTGTATTTAAAGTCAGGGGCTATGAGAAACTTGTAATATATAGTGTTTCTTGAGCAGTAAATTTATTTAGGAGTAAGGTTATACATAAATGGCAACTTTACAAATTAGCATACATAAGAAACGTGTGGAAATTACCCAATATACCCCCCCCCCCACCACCAAAAAAACAAAAAAAAAAAAAATTAGAAGTGGCTTATTCAGTTGGGGTCCCCTTGTAATAATCTTTTATTATTGAAACCTTAAAAGTTAATGGCAAAATAACTCAAATGTGTTAAAAACCCATTAAGTAAGAGAGATACTAGGAGTAAGGTAAAACTGATTATTTACATTTAACTTAAAGAGAGGGATCAGCTTAAAAGAAATAGGTACATGGTGTTAGCTATACAAGAAATCATTCTCCTTTCCATTCTGTAGCTTCATTTCATTAGTATTTAACCTTGGTAGTAGCCCCACCACTAGTCACCTAATGAGGTATTTTAATCACCATGTTTCTCTGGTAATTTCTATTTGTTTATTATGTCATATTAGGTCCCCCCCCCAACTTATGATAATTAAAAAACCGTAGAGTTGATTATTAGCATTATATTGAAGTAACATTTTTCTCTGCCTCCAAGATTTTTTTTGGGGGACTGGAACAGATTAATGCATTTCAGTTAATTTGAATGAGGAAAATTGATCTTATATACATACAAGCAAATGAGTTTACGCGCTCGGTCACGGAACAAATTAAACTCGTAAGTCAAGGTACCACTTGTACATCCAACTATTTAGTTCCACATCCCCCTATTTTGTTCTTACATCCAACCTCTAGTTTTACAACCTCGCTCATTTACCGATGGACTCGATTTACTGATGACTCAGACTTATGATGGGCCTCTCTGACCATTGGTTGTCATAAACTTAAATACTATGTTTAGAGCTGATTTCCTCCTATTCTGTTCTTACAATATACAGTAAATATGTGTAATATATTTAAAAATATACCAAAAATGTTATAAATGGTGCAAAGGTAACATTAAAAAACAGCATCAAAGATGTGACCAACAACCCACTACCATTATAGTATGCTCCTCACTTAGTGGCGAAGTTCATTTTACCGACGTGGTCATAGGAATGGAACAATGTCGTTTAATTGAGGAGAGGCTGTTTTGTGAAATTCAACATCAAGTGCTCTTGGGATACAGTAAATCTTCTGTTTAAACTGGCCATCCATTCCCCCTGTGATTGAGTCTTTTTAACCTTTGAGGTGTCGACAGGCCCCCTCTCTCCGAACTCATTCTCAGGGGTCGGCCAAATTAAAAAAAAAAAAATAATTAATTATCTCTATTAAAAGATAGATAATCTTTCCCTCAACATAAAAGACACCAAAAAGTTTGAAATTTGATGAAAACTATACGGAATTATGCTCTCGCGGAAGTTAGCAGTCTCGGCGATGTTTACCAATCGGCGATCTTGCCCACTTTTGAGCCCCATTCGGCCAATTCCACTGTCCTATTGACTAAAAAACATGCATATTTCGCTAGAACGCCGGCCATTTTTTTCTATCGGAATGAGTGCATAGAAACCACCCATTTTATCAATTTCAACTATCCAGTACAGTGGTCAAATTTTAGCAATTTTTTTCCAAATTTCACACAAATTACAAAAATTGCCAATTTCCGAATAGGGGTCCAGAATAAACAAGAAAGACATTCCTGGCACTAAAATGAACATTTTCTCGTGTTCATTAGTCACGTCTCAAGGCCCCCTCTTACATTCTTTTGCTTTTCTAACTTTAATTTTTATTCTCCGACAAAAAATAGAAGATTTACTGTTATGCAGACTACTGCATTAGTGTAAAAAATGGTATAAATAATAATTGGCATACTATGCGAAGAATATTAGACTCACCATTGACGTGTAATGGACGCTTGGCATGATTTGTTTTACTTTCAAACTTTGGTAAAAATTGAACATTTCTGCTATTTTGAGCTCAATTTCAAGGTACTTTTCATTGTAAAACCAGTCAAAAATCATCTCTAATTTCCTGTAATATGTCTTCCCATTCTATAAAATGATATCCAAGAAAAACTAGAATACAAACAATAAATTAACACATACGAAAATACAGATCAAAGTCGTTGTTTTATTAAAAAAAAAAACGGTCAAAGTTTTTCACCCTCCATTATTCACTGCTGCTGCAGGATTTTTTTTTATAACTGTGCACACTGACCAGCATAGACCCATTCCTTTCATAGTAGGCTCTACCAGCTGTACTCCCACTAATTTATGAGGGCGCTAGTCATTTAGGCGTACTAGTACGTCAAAAAACCCGTGGGTCGTAACCGTACTAGTACGGCCCCGAAACCCTCAAAGGGTTAAATAAAGGATTTACTTCTGCTTGAATTTCACAAATATTAATTGGATTTTAAATAATGTTTGGCCTGGACTTGGTAGGAAATTTCATAACTAAATAAAGCCTTGCTTCTTGCAAGATCATGGATGGTAACTGGCTCATCCTTTTAATGTAGCCTGTGACAAACATCCAAGATGTCCTTGGGGGGTAGATACAAGATAAAAATACAAGGATCATTGGGAGAACTACATGGGAGATAATACAATGAAAAATTCCATGGATATAACAAATACCAAGATCATTGAAGACTTAAAACAACTGCCCAAGTTAAACTACATGCTCTTTTCTAACAACAGTTTTGAATATTAAAAATGGTATAAAAATACCAACATGTTGTTAGGTAAGACACACGTGGGCAACAGTTAGGTATCTTTATTTTTTCGAAACGTTTTGCTACACTAACAGTAGGCTTCTTCAGTCTCTTCTATCAACTTCTCCTGTAATCAACTGAAGACTGCCTTACTGTCAACTCCTCTGTAATCAACTGAAGAAGCCCTGTGTAGGCAAAATGTTTTCCGAAATAAAGATACCTAACTGTTTTCATATGTAATCTTACCTAACACACAACAATTTTGCTTCGTGAGAGGGGAATCACCTTCATGTGTGGGAGGGCTTAAGTAACTTTGTCTATGAACCCATCCTCTCCCTCCCGCCTGCCCATTTAATATGGCTAGCTTTGTGGGAATTTTCACCATTTGTTAAATTTTATTTGGAGGATTATGGAATCTGTCATTGCTGTCCTTTGCCAACTGGTCCTCAAAGTTTTCCAAGGAATTCAGTTGTCAAGAGTCTTTGAGTGGGTCACAGGGTGGTAAAAATGGTGGTGGCAGAGGTATTACTGGAAAAAAGTCCCCACCTTCGAATCCAGGAGTATGAGTGAAAAGTGTACAATTCTCGGTGTTCTATTCCAGTTTGCCCTTCAGTTACTACAAATCGAATGCTGATAGCTTTTTCTTAGGCACTGCTTTAACCCTTTCACTGTCTAGAGTCTAGACTCTTACTTCAAAATTAATATTGCTCCCAGTGGCTACCTTTAAAAAGATAAATTCTGAAATGGTAGGAAATCTTTTTTTAACCCTTTGACTGTTTGGTGGTCGTATAATATACGTCTTTATGAGGTACTGTGTTTTGACGTATATATACTCAAAATTCTAGCGGCTTTCAAATCAAGCAGGAAAAAGACTGGTAGGCCCACATGTGAGAGAATAGGTCTGTATGGACAGTGTGCACCATATACAAAAAATCTTGGAGCATGCCAGTTGCATAATGAAGAAAAAAAAAAACTCCGACCGTTTTTTTTTTTTTAATTAAAATTCCCGACTTTGTGGTCCCTATTTTTTTGTATAGTATTTATGGTTCTAATTCTATGGAAAACTTATTATATAAATACGAGGTGATTTTGATTAGTTTTTTACTATAAAAAGAACCTGGAAATGGAGCTCAAAGTAGGAAAATGTTGATATTTGCCGATGTTCAAAAAGTAACCAAATGATGTCATTGTCACATACATGTCCAACTAGCCATTCCTAATGCAGTCATGAATGGGTTGACATTATTTGTACAATTATTAAAATATTGCAGTAGTCTGCATAACAGCAAATCTTTCTATTTTTTGTTTGAATAAAAATTCGAAGTAGAAGCAAGAGTCATATCAGAGGGGCCTGAGACGTGACTAATAACAAAAAAATGTATTTTAGAGCCAGGAATGTCTGCATTGTTCATTCTGGACCTTATTTTGAAAATCATATTTTTTAAATTTTTCGTTGAAATTGGCCAAATTGAAATATCTGACCATGTTATTGGGTAGTGAAATCGGTAAATGGGCAGTTTCTTGTACCCAATCCGATAACAAAAATTGGGAGTTCTAAAGAAATAGCTAATGAGTTTGGTCAACTGGAACAATGGAATTAGCCGAAAAATAGGGCCTCAAATTGGGCGAAATCGCCAAATTGTAAATATCGCCCGAGGTTCGCTAACTTAGCGAGAGCGTAATTCCGTGCAGTTTTCCATCAAATTTTTTGATTTTTCATTTCATTATAATTGAGAAAAGATTCTCTATCATTTCATAAGATTTTTTTTTTTTTTTTTTTTTTTTTTTTTTAATTCTTGCGACAGCCAGGAGACCACCTCAGGATTGGGGTTCGACAGTCAAGGGGTTAAAAGTCTTAGTATGAGCCAGTTCAGGAAGAGAGCTAAAAGGTTCCTAAAGAATGAGCTACAGAATGGGAGGAAAAGTGATTTTCTATGTGCCTAACGGTCATGTACCTACTATAATAAACTGATTTTTCTCCATATAATGTTCATGTAAATAACTAATTTCACTTTATTTTTATTGTTCCTCATTTTAGTACAACTGATTTTCAGGCAGTTGAGTTGCATAGTTGTTTTAATTTTTAAGAATATGAAACATAAAATATTTCGCTGTATCTTATAACAAGAATTTGAATAATAATATATTACAAGGATCCCAATGGAAATAAGTTACTTCAACTACTTTTTTGGGTTATTCTAGGTAATTTTCTGTACATTACTATACATAGTCTCCCATCCCGCGGGTGATATATTCCAATACCTACTGTGGGTTTAATAGCGAACCAGTATATTTCTTTTTGTTTATATACAAACACTATAAATTTTTTTTGATAAATTTAATCTCAAATAAGTCATTAAATTGTTGATGATTGGGATCATCGATAGTAGACAGTTTTTTTTTTCAACCTTTTGAAAAAACATTGTGATAGGAAAGTAGTTTTGTTGCAGAGAGTGAGAATGCTAGAGGCTGACTGAATACTAGTAAAACGGGCCAGTGTGGGGGATGAGGACAAAAGAGACAAGTCATGTACTGAGCGTTGGCAGGCAGGAAGGTTTCACCACATTATTCAAATGGTGCACAATGTGAAACTTTTGAGTTTTTTTATTTCTGGAATTTTCCATTTAATATTTTGAGGCTGCGTAAAAACTGCAAGATAACTGAAACTGCTGAAAACTTGAATCTGCAGATACAAGGGTTTCTACTGTGTGTAATTATTAAATCAACCTTAATTGTAATTTATGTGACCTGAACCTAACTAACTTACTTGGCTTAGTATACCTACTAGCTAGCTTTTAAGATAATTAGCAAACTAGGTATTTATTGTACTTTTATTTGGGCACCTGTTTAGACATTTTAGTTGGTTACTATTTGAGCAATATGGGCTAGCTATTGATTATAGCAAACCTCCAATTTAAACCCATTACTTCCAAGGAAATAAAATCTTCATTTTTTGTGAAAACCATATTAATTTCACGTTTTGAATGTAAATATTGTCCTAAATAAGTATTTTTTTTTTTTTTTTTTTTTTTTTTGAACTTGAGTTATAGATGGTGAATGTATGGTTACTAGAGGAGACTGTGGATACAAAAAACTTCAAGAGATATCGCATTAAGAGTACTTTTATAGTGCTGCCATCTATTTCATATTGTGTGTATGAAGCAAATCAATGGAACATAACAACCTCTCTTGGTTAACTCAAACCAACAGTAAGAAACGTAGTTGAAGAAAATATAAAAGAAAAAATGGTATGGAAACCTTTCTGCACTTTTCACTGTATTCTTCAATGAGATGTAATAACAGTAGGATGCAGCTTAACCAAGTTCACTCTCCATGTTTTTATTCCCTTTGTGAGTCCTTCCTTGGTATGGGTCAAAAGCTTGCAGTTAACCAGAAAGGGTTCCATGACACCATAAATTTGTAGCCAAAACATACAGGTTTTGTATGAATTACGCTTAACCGCCAGCTTACCAAAATATTTCACCCATTTGCCTCGTCCATTGCAAAATATTTTTGAGTGAAGGGGATGAAGTGTTTCATAAACTTCTTTGAAGGTGTGTGATCAAGGACGCATTAGTGTACTTAGCAACATTGTCTAGGTTTGTGAGTTTGCTTTGAAATGAAGGGTGTCTTTTCCTGGATGGAATCAAATCTGTCTCGACGCATTGCATTACTTATAGCTTGATTGTATACATCATGGTCATGCGACCAATACATAGATTTGCTGGGCAATGAATTGTAACCAGAAACAAGCAAAATAGTCAGGAAATCTATTAGTTCACTTACACTTACTCAAACGTCAGGCCAATTTTTCATCATACAGTACTTTGTCCATTTGCTCTTGTTGTGTGGTCCCAAGGATTTCTTCATTAAAGAAAAGCTCCAAGAGTTCAACTACACTAAAGTCCCAATACTTGCTGAAGTCTGCTTCAGGTAAAATTCTGGTACATGCTTGTGTTTCTTTATTTTTCCTCCACTTTATCTTGTATGAAAGTTTGTCACCTTACATATCTTCCCTTTTGGGTTTTTCACTGTTGATCCTCCGGTTGTTCTACACTAATATCTTCCTCATCTTCATCTGAAACGAAAGACTCCGAAACTCACCAGGGGCTAATAATTTTCTTGTGTTTTTTATTTTTCCCTCCACTTACTTTGTAGAATTGTCACCTACAATATCTTCCTTTATGGGTTTTTCACTTGCATCACACCGGTTGTTTCTACACATAATTCTTCCTCTTCTTCATCAGACGAAAGACTTCGAAAACTCACCAGGGGTAATAATTGATTCCCAGACAGGCTTTCAGGGTGAAAAGACCCATTTCCATCATCTTCGTTTGCACGAAAATCTCATCATCAGGCTGCTCACATCTGTGGGGCTCCAAATGTAGAGATTCTTCCAGCTTCCTCCAGCTCATCTAGACAGACTAAGGCTTCGCATTGACAGTTAATGTTTTTTGCCTGAAAAAAGAATACAATTGTCAAAAAATACTGAAACCACATGGACATATGAATGTCAATAACTGTACATGTATACTCCTAAGGTAACCATGTGGTTACCGAAAATATAAACCTGAATACGTACTACTTGAAATTAAAATTTTACATGAAACTTTCGCAGTAAATAATACATATATAGCCTTTTTTTTGGGGGGGGGGGTTTTTTTTTTTTCTATTCTATGTCACAATATGATGTAATTTATAAAGGACAATTATATTAATCTCCATGGGGAAGCGGAACAGAATTCTTCCTCCGTAAGCCATGCGTGTTGTAGGAGGCGACTAAAATGCCGGGAGCAAGGTGCTAGTAACCTCCTCTATATACAGTGGACCCCCGCTTTACGATCAGCTCCCAATGCGACCAATTATGTGTGTATTTATGTAATTGCATTTGTACGTGGTAATGTTTTGGGGGGTCCTGAAATTGGCTAATCTACTTCACAATATTCTCATGGGAAC